TATGACAGGTAAATGTGGTTTTTAGCAGAGTTGGTACAAAGTGCAGTCGGTGGGCTAAGATATTAAAATAGGCCCAAGAATTTTGGTGATTACCTCCAGTTTTTTTCTCCTTTCTCTCCTGAAGATTAACTCTCAGTGGAAGCTGGTTGACAGCAAACCTTCCTGGTACCTCCCATCTGAGCGATTTTTCTTGTACGAGATTGGACATTCAGATTGAGATTTCCACACTAAAGAGATGGTCAAGGCTTAACTGGTTTTCCACCATTACAGATAACACATTGGACCAGGTTTATTTCCTCTTTATCACTAAACACCTTTCTAGGAGGACAGGGGCAGGTGTAGGATATGTTTGGTTTCTCTCCTTCTCACATTGTGGGTCCATGCACAGCACTCGGACTATAGCGGTTCAAGATGGCAAGTCATCACCTTTCTTTATTCGTTCACAGGATGAGGGTGTCACTGGCTAGGCCAGCATTTATTGCCCACTGGAGAGGCCAGTTAAGGGCCAACCACATTGCTGTGGGTCTGGAGTCACATGTAGGCCAGCCCAGGTAAGGGTGGCAGTTTCCTTCCCTAAAGGACATTAGTGAACTATACAGCATGGAAACAGGCCCTTCTGCCCAACAAGTCCACAGCAACCCTCAGAACATCCCACCCAGACCCATGTCCCTATAACCCACCTAATCTACACATCCCTGAACACTATGGGTAATTTAGCATGGCCAATCCACCTAGCCTGCACACCTTTGGACTGTGGGAGGAAACCGGAGCACCCGGAAGAAACCCACGCAGACGCGGGGAGAATGTGCAAACTCCACACCCGAGGGTGGAATCGAACCTGGGTCCCTGGCGCTGTGAGGCAGCAGTGCTAACCACTTAGCCACCGTGAGTATTTTTTTTCCTGGCAATCACAATTGCTTCATGGTCATTATTAGATTTTTAATTCTAGATTTTTACTGAACCAATTTCCACCATCTGCTGTGGCAGGATTCAAAACCGGGTCCCCAGAACATTACCTGGATTAATAGTCCAGCAATAATATCACTAGGCCATCGCCTCTCCCATCTTCTTAAGGCCAGCTAGAGACAGGCAATAAATGGTGGTTCAGCCAGTCATGCTTGTGAAGTGAATTAAAAAATAAACCATGCATTCACCTGAGATCATTTCAAGACAGACAAGGAATCAAACTTGGAGCCTGCTGGACCTACATGACTCAAAAGCACAAAATCCTCCCTACGAGTGAAATTAAAAGTTTCTCTCAATGGATTTGAAGGTTTTCTTAGAAATGCCTTTTAATTTCTTAAGTGTCAGCTTGACTCATTTGCTGATGAGTCAGGGGTCATGGGTTCAAACCACACTCCCGAATTCAACACATAATCCAAATCGACACTTTAATACCTGATGAGAGATTGCTGCAGTGTTGGAGGTGACGTCTTTCAGATGAACTATTGAACCAGTTGCGTATCAAAGATCCCGTGGAAGCACTCACAAGTTGACCCAGTATCCCAGCCAACATTCCTCCCATCACTAAAACCAGATTGGCTGGTCATTCTGTCTCTCTCTGGGATCGTGCCTGCGTGAGTATTGGCAATGCCTCATCCTTCCCCATGACAATAGCGAGTAAACTTCAAGTGGACTTCAGAATGTTGTGAGAGGCGCTATGCAAATAAAAAGTTTTTTTTATTTTCTTGGAAGAGGGTTTGAGTTTGTTTTATACAGTTGTATAGTTGGCGGGAAAGCAGCTCTCTTTAAGAGCGGCGCTGATTGGAATGTATTGTTATTTTAAACACGTGTTACTTGCCTTGGTTTTGTTCTCTCCTTCCCCCCCCGACACACACACACCCCTCCCACCCCATGGCGCTTCATCCGATCAATCCACAAGACCCAGCCATCCCCATCTTCAGGCTGTGCAGCAAAGACAAAGAAAATAGCTTGTCACAAATTACACGTTTCAAAATCAGCAGCGTCTGCCAACTTGTCAGCAGAAGGGAATTATTGAGATGAGTTATTTACGGCTGGAAAGGTTTGCGAAGCAGCAGGGGCTCAGGATGATATATTGTGCGCTGTGGTATAATCCACACCCGCCTGGACACGGTTAGAGGCTGCTGATTTTATTATCAGCCCAAAAGCCTGTAACATAAGGAACGAGCCAGCCCAGTGGATTGCAAGCTGTTTTAGATACCAATGTCTCCTTTAACTGGGAGTGGAAGTGCTCACTCCAACTGGGCAAAAAAGCATGTCATAAAATGTTCTCACATTGGTGTGTATTCTCTTGCCTTTGGCTGAACTTGTGGGTTTGATTGACATGACTTCCAGCATCTTGTGCTCATGGGCACTCGCTCTGTGGGTCTTGAGAAGCACCATCCATACAGTCTTCATGTCAGCATACAAGAACATTTTTTTTAAAAAAGGAATTTGCAGGATACAGGCTTTGCTAGCCAGGCCAGCATTTATTGTCCAGAGGGTAGTTTATGAGTTAACCACATTACTGTGGATCTGGAGGAATATGTAGGCCAGACCAGGCAATGACAATTCCTCTTCCTTAAAAGATATTGGTGAACGAGGTGGGGACTCCCCCCTAACAATCTTCAGTCAACTTTTAATTTAGTGAATTCACATTCCACCATGTCAGGATTTGACCACAAGTCCCCAGAGCATTACCTGAGTTGTTGAATTAACATTCTAGATGAACACTTAAAATGCCAGGGCACAGTAGGCTATGGACCAAGTGCAGGTAAATGGGAATAGTGTAGTTTGATGTTTGTTGGTCAGCATAGACATGGGTGGGGGGATGCCGAAGGGCCTGTTTCTATGCTGTATGACTCTGACTCTAGTGATAACACCCCATTAGGTTAACGCCTCCCATGTGCCAGCTGTAGTTATGACTGCAGTTTGATTGTTACTGCCTTCATAGCAACTATGAAAGTCAGAATACTGGCACATGGGCTCTCTAATGGAGACCATAAAGTTGCAATTATTTCAAGTGAGATCCCAGATAATGTCATCAGCTTTCGTTCGGTAAATATTATGGGATGCCTCAGCCACTCCTGGATAATTGCACTTCCAGGAATGATCTAGTCAAACGTGAAAGCTGAATAGTCCAGGATCATAGTCTAAGATACAGAGTAGACTGTTTAAGACTGAGATGAGGAGAAATTTCTTCACCCAGAGAGTGGTGAGCCTGTGGAATTCACTATCATAGAAAGCTGTTGAGGTCAAAACATTGAATGCATTCAAGAAGCAGTTAAATATAGTTCTTACAGCTGAAGGGATCAAAGGGAATGGGGTGAAAGCAGGAAAGCGGGACTGACTTGGATGATCAGCTGTGATCATATCGTGGAGGTGCTGGTGTTGGACTGGGGTGGACAAGGTCAGAAGTCACACGACACCAGGTTATAGTCCAACATGGTTATTTGAAAACACAAGCTTTCGGAGCTCTGCCCCTTTGTCAGGTGAAGACAACACTTGTGATTTCAAATAAATCTGTTGGACTATAACCTGGTGTCGTGTAACTTCTAACCATGATTGTATTGAAAAGTGGAGCAGGCTGAAAGGGCCGAATGGCCTACTGCTTTTATTTTCTGTTCTATGAATGGCATACTCCTGTCCCTGTGACTTTTTGCGAGGTCTGTCAGCCCTACATTTGTGAATTAGAGCAATTTAAAAGCATTCCTATTATCCATATTGTACAATGAGGGTCTGAGGGAGGGACCAGTGTACGTTATTAGTGTTTACATTGGCTTCAAGGGAAAAACTGAGATTGGACAACGTAGTAGAAATGCTAGCCTTTATCGCAAGAGGATTTGAGGACAGGAGCTAAGAAATCTGTCTTCAATTGTATAGACCACTGGTGAAACCGCACTTGGAGTACTGTGTGCAGTTGCCTTAGAACGGATACAATTACCATACAGGGAGTATAGATGAGGTCCACAAGACTGATTCTAGAATCGGGGAGGGGGGCACAATTTAAAAATAAAGGAGGTGAAGACAGAGTTGAATGTTATTACTCAGGGGATTGTGAATCTTTGGAGTTCAGTTCCCCAGAGAGCTGTGGAAGCTCAGTTATTAAGTGACTTCAAGACAAAGATTAATAGGTTTCTAGTTACTAATGTCAAAAAGGAATGTGATGTTCAGGTAGATGATGAGCCGTGATCTGGAATGGTGGAGCAGGCTTGAGGGGTTGAATGGCTTGCTGCTCCTCTTATGTTCCCAATCGGCCTACTCCAATGTAAACAGCAATGATAATAGTGTGAATTGATAAAATATGGGAGGATATTGAAGGAGTTGATCAAGTAATTTAAAATGACATTGTATTTATAAAATGCCATGAACATAGTAAAACCTGCCAAGGGGCTTCAAAGAATCATGATCAACACTTTTTTGACACGAAACCACCACGAGGAGATAATAGAGCAAATAAGCAAAAAGCTCGGTAAAAAGCTTAGGTCCTGAGAGAGGAGTGAGATCAGGAGGTTTTGGGTGCGATTTTCAAAGTTTAAGTCCAAGGTGGCCGAGTACAAGGTGAAATAGGAGATAGCAGGGCTTGTTTCTTTTTCACCAGAGCTCAGAGGGTGCAGATTTGTCAATGTTTGAACAAGAGCGCGTGTTAACGTTCAAAAATAGATGAAATAAATTGTTGAAGGGAAGTTGGAGCAGGATACACAGGATTAGAGCAACAGCTAATGTGGAGGGAGAGCGGCACTGGGTGGCTGAGCCAAGTAGCTGTTTTCTTGCGGTGTAACAAAGCGATAGGATGATGCACAATGGCATTTCAGAACTTCTGAACCAGTGACCATTAACGCCTTCACTCGTTTTATCAGTTGGGGCAGTCAAGGCTGATTGTCAGCTTTGATTTCACTTTCCCAGCTGCTGCCATCTTCCTTCATTCGCTGAGATGTGAAGAATCTGTTTTTTTGCCAGGACTGGAACAGCATAAGATCAGACAGAGTTAAGAGGCTCATGCACATGTTAACACCCTCTTTCCTTGCCCTCTCTTTTAGAGCACTTGGCGCCAGCAGTTGTCAGTGGAATCGCGGTGCTCATGCCTGTGAAGCACACGCACAGATGATGTCTGAAGCTGGACAGGGCACTAAGAGTCTGATTGGTGGCCGCTCTGGAGGAATGATCACCCTGTGGTACGCACTTTGCCTCTGTTTAGTCACTGTCACCAGCGTCCAAGCTGCCAGGCTCCGTATTTCAGAAGCTCCAGAAAAATCCACCCACCGTCCTCCCTCAGGTAAACATTAGAGCCAGATTTCTCATTTTGTCATTCTTCATTTTGTCTGCACCGTCTCCTTGAGGGTAGAGCTGGCGGAGAAGGGGAGGTGGAATGTTAGGATTAATGTTCCTTTTAGCAATTTTCTTTTTATAATAATTCATTGTGGGCATATGACAAGGCCAGCACTAATTGCCTATCTCGAATTGCTCCTTAAGACGCTGATCTATACAAGGAAGGTCTTCCTGCTGTTCTGTTAGAGAGGGAGTTCCTGGAGCCAAGTAGGAATGTATCTATTACATTGTGCAAAGAGTAACACTCCAGAGCTTTTCATTGTGTGAATTAATTTTAACATTGTGGTTTAACAAAGTCCTTATCAATTCTATATTTATAACAGTTCATTATTTTGACTGCTCAATTTTACTTGGAGCCTTTAGCCAACAGTCAACAGTGCGATAGCTATGGGTGAAAGAATATCATCTGTTTGAATCTTAAACCATATAAGTCAGTTCTTTAATTTATTTGAGCACACTTATATGCCTGCCAACTTTCTTTATTCTTTCATGGGGTGAGGGTATCGCTGATAGTCTAGAATCTGTTGCACATTTCTAACTGCCTATTTACTGAATGGTTTGCCAGTGACTTTCAAGAGGACAGTGAAGAGCCAGTCACATTGCTGTGATTCTGGAATCACAGACCAAGTAAAGATGCAGATTTCCATCCCTCACAGACATTAATGCACCAGATGATGATAGCTTCATGGTCACCATTACTGGGACAAGCTTTTAAATCCTGATTTTATTAAATTGCATTTAATTTCCACCAGCTGCTACTGTGGGGTTTGAACTCTTGCCCCCACAGGTTCATTGAATTTCTAGACCAATGACATTACCATGACACTTGTCATCTCTCCAAACTGAAGTTTTGATATCTGTAAATAGGGACAGAATTATTTAGATAATCCAAACATGGTGCATAACATTTTAGTTTTTGCTGGTCATTTTTATACTACGCTGCCTTTTTTATGTTGTTACATACCAGGCATGGTGCATCCTCCTGGGCTGTTTCCACCCATAATCCAAACCGAATTGGTGGGAAGCCAGCAGAAAAAGACTGGCCTGCCATTTATCAACATGGCCAGCCCAACCTCCAAAACCCCAGTCTGGCAGCCAGTGCCCACTTACCATATTAAATTCCGACGGAGAGGTGGGACATACGAATCCAGGCCATTCCCCCTACTTTCTGTTACTGACCTCATCTGCCGAGGCCTGGTTTCCATGGCAACAACCCCGAGAGAGCCTGCTCATTGTTCTGGAGGAGAAGACCCGCCCCCCCCACCCAGTGCTGAGCAATTTGCGTATTCTTAGCCATACACCAATTTAAGGAGCAACACAGTCTGAATCAAAGATAGTAGGAACTGCAGATGCTGGAGAATCCGAGACAACAAGGTGCAGGGCTGGATGAACACAGCAGGCCAAGCAGCATCATAGGAGCAGAGAGGCTGACGTTTCGGGCCTAGACCCTTCATCAGAAAAGGGGGAGGGGAAGGGGGTTTTGAAATAAATAGGGAGAGAGTGGGAGGCGGATAGAAGAGGGATAGAGGAGAGGATAGGTGGAGAGGAAACAAACAGGTCGAAGAGGCGGGGATGGGGCCAGGAAAGGTGAGTGTAGGTAGGGAGTTAGGAAGGGGATAGGTGCAATGGTGGATGTTGCTGAGCTAGTAATTTAGAAACACTGGTTAGTGCCCTAGGGACAAAGGTTTAAATCCAGCCATTGTGGCTGGTGGAATTTGAATTCAATGAATTAATTGAAGACAATCTGGAATTGAAGGCATGCCTTAGTGATGGTGACCATGAGACCATTGTCAAGTGTAGAAATCCATTTGGGTTCACTAATCTCTGTTGCCTTATATCTCACAATTGCCTTATGAAATGACCTGTTAAGTTAGTTGTACCAAACCATTACAGAAAAGTCACCATCTAATGACTTGCTTTCTCCTGCTTTGTTTGTATTGGTCTATCTCCGTAGCTGTCTCTCCCTCATGCTCTCTTTCTCTCTCCATCTTCCCCCTTCTCTCCACCCTTTCCTCTCTAAATGCTATATACAGCAGAGCAGCTGTGTTTATTTTTTGAAGTCATGCAATGGAAAAGTAGCTTTTTCCTAGTTTCCTGAAGGAGGTAGAGAAATGGCACTTGAACTGTAACAGATTCGGTGATTTTTGAATCATCTGCTTTCCTAAAACCACCAGTAAAAGCCAAGTTGTCTGGTGGAGGCCAAGAGCTGAAAGTATCAGCTTCCTCCCTATCCCCCCATCTTGATTTAATGCCATTAATCACTGCCGAGGGTTGTTTTTTGTCAGCAAGAAAGCTGTAATAAAACCCATATTCTAAATGTAACTCAACACAGCTTATTTTTCACAGCTAAACAGGTTGATTTATGGAGCTCCCTGAGTAGCTGTTAATGAATTTGCTTGAGTTGGAAATAAAGACGCTGCTGATTGGGACTGGAGCCTGTTTCTTCCCCTCTGAAAAACTGTGGAGTCTTGTTGCTCAATGCAACTGAATTGTGCTGAGTGCAGACTGTGGCTGAGGTTTCTGATATGCTGGAAGGAGTTCTTCTCATGGGAGTGCTCCCAGTGCAATTCCTCCCCCTCCAGCCCTGCCACAAGTCCACAACAGAACAGAAAGGTCCTACTGCTACTGAGTGAATGCAGCTTTGTGCTACCATGGACGCTCATGTATAAAACCCACATTGAAGCAAAGCTCGCTGCCGGAGCCATCATTTTTGGAAGAGACTGATGAAGGCAGACGAGGCTTAAAGGAGGAGGTTTACTTTGAGGTGGGGCTGTGTACGTTGCACATATTAAGGTCTCCACAGGGAGGTGCCTTGTTTCTGGCAGGAAGTCAGGAGATGCTGGCTTCAGTCTGAATGGAGTCCAAGGTGAAGGTAAAAGGGGCCTCATCTGGGCAACATTTCCCCTCAGCGTTTTGGATCAGGAACAAGGTTGGATTTTTATGAATGAAAGTGGAGAGGCTGGGCAGAAATTGAATGCAAATGTCATTAACAAGCTGCTCTGCAGATGATGAAAGGGATCATTGAACTTTTTTACCTCTTTGAGGATCATGGTCAGTGGGCTCACTGGCTGAGAATGGGCTTCAAACACTAAAAGCGATCTCTATAGGAACTCTAACCTTGAGAGGGAGCTGTCAATGGCATTCTCTGCATTCTCCTGCTGCAATCACACATATAAAGGACTGCACTTCTGAAGGTCCAAGGCTGGCATTTTAACATCAGGCTCCTGCAGCTTTTGTGAGCTATTTGGGGAACCCCTGCACTGAATCCCGGGGTCAGAAACATTCAACCAATTTCTGTGCATGCCTTGTGTCACAACACAGTTTACAACATGCCACATGTACACATGCTCAGAGCACCTGTCCACAAACTTGTTCACAATGCAGGAATGATATGGAGGCGTAATGGATCGTATTTTCTTCTAAAAGTAACGCTCAGGCTGACAGTAGCTGATGTGTGAATCAGGAAAAAGCTTCTAGTGAGCACACACGCACAGTTAAATGCATCAATTTGGATGTTGCTATCCGAGATTCTCCCGTAAATACTCCCCAAAGACGGCATCACACCCTCTGACCCTCTGCTTAAATGCACTGAAAGGTGTGAAATCGCTGTACATCCATATGTCAGAGATTCTGATTAATTCAGCCAAAAATAACACTTGAGCTTTTATTATCCAGTTTAGAGTTCTAGCGATGTACTTCAGTCCAATTCGTCCATGCTGGCCAGATATCCTAAATTAATCCAGTCCAGCATTTGGTCCATATCCCTCTAAACCCTTCCTATTCATATACCCATCCAGATGCCTTTTAAATGTTGTAATTGTACCAGCCTCCACCACTTCCTCTGGCAGCTCATTCCATACACGCACCACCCTCTGCATGAAAAAGTTGCCCCTTAGGTCCCTTTTATATCTTTCGACTCTCCCCTTAAACCTATGCCCTCTAGTTTTGGACTCCCCTACCTTTAACTATTCATCCTATCCACGCTCCTCATGATTTTATAAGGTCGCCCCTCAGCCTCCAACACTCTACCTTTCTCTTGTGTGCAAACTCTTAATTATTCACCAGATGTTTGGTTGGCCTTTTACTGACCTATTGGAAAGCCTGGCAGCCATTCGGTTGTGAATGTACCCAGGTCACACCATCACCATCATTGGCTATGTCCAGCAGGACAAACCCAGCCATGTTGCTGCCCCAGTGGTATGTCGTCGGGACAGAGTGGGTTTCGGGTTCTACTATGGCCACTCCACTCCTGCCCTCATTACTAGCTTGGTCTAAACATGAAAAGAGATGTAGGGAGAGTGCTTGACCTTGACATTATGGTGCCATTAACCAAATGTGACATTAAATAGTCCTAACAAAACTGAAGTCAGTGGGAACCAGGGCAGGGGCAGGGTAATGTTTGCTGGTTGGAGTTCTACCTAACACAAACCACAGGAGTTCCTTGGGTTAGTGTCCTAGACCCATCCATCTTCAGTTGCTTCATCAATGACCTTCCTTCCATTGTAACGTCAGAAGGGGGGATGTTCATCGATGTTTGGACAATGTTCAGCACCATTTGCAACTTCTCGGGCTCCGAAATGGTCCATGTTCACATGCAGCAAAGAGGTGGAGTCATAATGTCACTGAACTCATAATGACCCAGTTCAGAACTAATGTCCTGGGGAAAAGCAAAATACCACGGATGCTGGAGATCTGAAATAAAAACAGCAAATGAGCTAGAGAAGCTCCATAGGCCTGGCAGGATCTGTGGAGAGAAAAACAGAGTTAATATTTTGAGTCCCATGACTCTTCTTTGGAACCCCAGAGTACTCCATGACTTTCTGTTTTTATTACTAATGTTCGAGGGATATGAATTCGAAACCCACCACAGCAGATGGTGAAATGCTGAGTTCACTAACATTCTAATGACCTATGAACCTGTGTAATTGTTGTAAAAACTCACCTGGT